CCTCAGCCGCGGCCTTGTTCCAGCTGAGGGCGGCGGAGAGCGGGAGCTGGGCCTGCCCCACCGGGGGCATCTCCTCGCCGCTCCCGTCCTGTTGCTGAGGAGACTCCTTGAGTGCCTTGAAAGGTTTTTTTTAGTATTTTTATTTATTTAGAAACCACCTAAGTGCGGTTTAGCTGGCAAAACGCTGTATCATTTTGCTCGCTAACCAGCTGCTGTGGATAATAGCTGCGAATTAATTGTTTTCTTAGCTGTAGTGACAGTCCCTGTCTGTAGTATATGAGCACAGTCACAGCATCAGGATGGTATTTCTTATTTCTGGGGTTAAATTCGCCGTTTTGTGACTCAGCCAACTTCTGCTGCCCTCTGAACCTGTCATTCTGCAGGTGCTCTGAGGAGATCAGCCCCCCACGCTGCTGACAATCGAGTTGCAGGTCAGGAAGCCTTTATTAATGTAGAGCAGAGGCAACTGCATCTTGCTTCATTTCTGTTAAAAACATCTTCTGCCTTAATAAAACTTAACTGAGCCTCATCCTTTTTTACCCAGGGAAAGCAGCTGTCCTTTTTCCTCTACTCAACAGGGATTTGAAATACAAACGTGGTGCAATCTGGCCAAAGGAAATATCAACAACTCAATTATTCACAGTAATCTGTGGAATTAGAGAGAATAGTGATAATGTTGGGGGTCCTGGGCTTCAGATCACACCTTGTTATTGTCAAAGTCCCAGCTCTTAGTGCATGTCCTCTTCTTTCCTCATCTTTCCACCACTTATTTAAATGTACAGTTGAACCATTCCACTTCCAGTGGCTGCTTGGAGCTCAAAAGAATTCAGGTCTAACGTTATGAAAGATGTTCTCCTTGGGTAGAAGAGGCTGCAAGAATCATCAGTTGTGTCTCCAAATGAATATGGGATAAAAAAGCACTAGTATAGACACATCTGTGGAGGTTTTTATGCTGTTTTGCTTTTTGATTGCTTCTTTCGCAGCAAGCTAAGTTGTGAGAATATTCCTTTGCAGGAATGGTGGTGCCTCCATGTATGCCAGCAAAGGTATAATAATTAACAAATACATATTCTTCAGCCAAGGTGATACAGTTATGTCAGCAGGAGTCAGGCCTGTTCTACCAGGATGAAATAAGTATGGAAGCAACTGGTTACAGTTGTAATAAGTGAGATTTAACATAGTAAGAATTTGATGTGTAGCTTTGATACATTATTACTGTTAAATATTTCAAGTAATATGTAAAGATTTTACCTTAGATACTATTTTTTTCAGGGAAGCTAGCATGGAGTGCTGCTATAAGTTTTTTGTTTCAGGAAAAGTGGGCAACTCTTTACCCTTCCTTATGTCACTTAAGTTAGCAGGTTTATGTCACTTTAGTTAGCAGGGCTTTGGCTTGCAGTTAAAGATGCTGGAGCTAACCCCATTAGATGGAAAATATGAAGTTAATATTAATTAATAGGTAAAGCTAATCATGTGATATCAAAACTGTCCGAGGAAGTGGGAATTAACACTTTATGATGTGTTTTGAAATGTAATTCTTAATTGCATCACCAGGATTGCTCACCCTCTGTCAGCCAGGTAGGAAGGTTATTTTCACATGTACCAAGGATATCGGGATGAATGTGAATGTGCTGATTCTATTTGGGGCAGATATTTTTTTTTGAATTTTGAATTTTGAATAAAGATTTGAGTTAACTTAAAATGTATCTTTTTTTCACAGATGTGGTCCTTGTTTAAGGATAGCCCCAGCTTTCAATGCTCTGAGTAACAAATATCCCCAGGCAACTTTTTTGGAAGTAGATGTACATCAGTGCCAGGTTGGTATTCAAAAACATATTTTCACTTGTAAGAGAAAGAGCAGTGAATGGGAAACTTGGAGAAAAACTGTTCAGACAGTGTACTAAGAGTAATATCCTGTGACTGTTGATGTGTTTGGTGAATCACAAATAGCCATATTGTGAAATTCTCCAAAATTAGGATGTGAGCAAACAAAACTTTTGTTTAGAAAAGGGTTCTGGCAGTTACCCCTGTCACGTCCTTCGTTTAAGCAGCGTACAGACAGCTGAACAGTTCCTGCTGCTTGCACTCTTCAGGTAATACTGTTAAATGTAGATGACAGCACTGGTATGAATGAAAAAGTGTAAGTCTTGCCAAACAAATATTGCTGTAATTATTGAGCAAAATAAAGAAATGCCGTAAACTGATGCGATTAGTGGGACTAGATTCCTCTCAAGTGCTACTCGACTGTTTTTAACACACAACAGTGTTGCAGATGAGCTGTTGATTGACTTAAGGGTCGTTAACAAAAATTAACAATGGTACCTTGAAAGGAAATGTCTTGAATTACTACAAATTATAATAGAGAAAGGTGAGCATAGAAGTGATAACAATGTTTGCAAATGACATTAAATTGTGGAAAGTTTTGGGAAGAACTCCTGTAGGTGCATAAAAGGTCTGAATAGAGGTAGAACTCAAACCAAATTCACCTTCTGTAGCAGCAGGCTGCAGTTCCTGGGTGTGCATGAATGTGGCTTGGGAGGGGAGAGGAATGCAAAGGGATGTAAAGAAAGCTTGTAAAATAAAAGTGTTAAGTCATCCTCCACTTTCAAAGCAAATGAGTAATGTGATTTTTAGGATGTACCAACAAATCTACTGACAGTGTGAAGTCCAATGTGAATCATGTAAACAATTAGGAGGATCTGCAGAATTTAAATTAACTTAAAATTATCCAGGTTAAGGCTGTTTGTAAAGTAACAAATACTGTTTGAGGTGATGTAGCTTGATTTAATATCTAGTGTGTGCATTCTTCTCTAGGTGAAGCGGGCTGATATTTCTGTTTAACATTGGTAATACTCTGTTAGGTAATGCTTGTAACTAATTGATGTATTCCAGGGAACAGCTGCTACCAATAATATATCAGCAACACCAACATTTCTGTTTTTCCGAAACAAAGTACGAATCGACCAATATCAAGGAGCAGATGCTGTAGGTTTGGAGGAAAAAATCAAACAGCACCTGGAGAATGATCCTGGAAACAGTGAAGATACAGATATCCCAAAAGGATATGTATGTATCTCCTGTCTTAAGATATATTTTTTAATGTTTGTGGAACTTGAATGTTTAAAAAACATAAATCTGCCTTCTAAACATACTCTCAAGTCAAATACTGCTACTACAGGCAAAACTGCACATTCCCCGTGGCTTTGAGAAGATCACTTGTCTGAGTTCCCTTTTTTCAGACAAAATTAAAAGTTAACAACATGTACATATTTAGTAAGGACGGTTATAGAATTGTAAAATGCTTCAAGAAAAATCTCCACACGGTCCTTAGTCATTAAAATAATGAATTTCATGGTTTATGTTGTTGAAAGCAGAACCAGGTTTTCTGGAGGTTACATATTTTAAGTTCATAGCTAGCTGTATCCTGTCAGGTGAACGTAAGCAGGGTGCACATCCAGCTGAATATTTGTCACTTAAATAAACTGCAAGGGCACGGGTCACTGGGATTTCCAGTGGTTCAGCTACTTGCTCACCGTTCCACGGCATGCATTGTGCTCCAATTTATATGTGAGTGCCTACACTTATAATTAATGTGAAATCCTCTCTGGAACTATGGGAATGTCCAAAGACAAAGGTTCAGCTTGTTAGCTTTGAGTCCAAAACACTCTGAAAATCATTCCAGTTCAGGACTGCTTGCTTAGGTTGGTTTTGAGGTGAACACACCATGTTCTATTAGAAGTTAATCTTAGAGGTGGTGTCTTAGCCCTACAAATCAAGTCCTGGGTGTGTTCAGGGTTGTTTGAGCCAAGCAGGAATTCCATTTGACCCATAAGTGGTCGGCTGAAATGCAAAATTGGATATATTTGACCCAAACTGGGCTGCTGTTGGCTCCAGGGAAGTGTCCTCATCCTCTGGCGCAGCTGTGTGCGCTGCCTTTTCTCACCTGGTATCTACACAGCATGGCAGTGGCAAGCTAAGCCTTCCTTTGGGTGGAGTATTTATTACTCAGAACAAAACTCTTGCAAGAACTAAAGGAATTGGGATGCAGGCAATGAGTTGTGTTCTCCCTGCAGCCTGTTTGCAGACTCTGTTCACGACCATGAAGCTACAGCCAGGGCTGTAGTCTGCTGTAATTTTCCAGCTAGCATGTGCTTTTTTCAAGGATGGTTTTATTATTCTTTGTGACCTAATATATGCCTTTCAGAAGGATATTTTTGGGTCATCATCCTAAAAAGTTCCTTTAGCTTTTTATGTATGAGCTGGTCTATGTGCACTCATCTCAGGTTTGTACTGTTATGGTGTGAGATGTTGATACTTTGTCTTCAGGCCTTAAGATATGGAATATTTGATTTATTTTTTGCCTGGCTTATTGTGCTTCAGGTGGACTTGGTTTACTTTAGTTGCAGGCAAAAAATTCTGGTTGGCTGGGAATTAATACAGATTATTCTACCTCTGCAATAATACTGCCTTCTAAATGGTTGAGGCTTGGAGCACGGATAGCACTCTGCTTTAATCTGAGAATGCTTCTATGTTAAAGCTTTTAGTTGGACCTTTCACAAGAGAGCTGAGCAATAAAACAAACTGAGTCACGGTGAACAGCATAGCTCCTGTTTTCTGGTGTCCTGTGTTTTTACCAAAGTCTGTAGAGAAGGGAGTAGGAAAAGGTTTCATCAAGTTAATTTGTATCCAGTGTGGAAAGAGATGTAAGATAAGACTAGATTTGCATATAGAGCCTGGTAAGAATGAGAGTGGTGGTCTTTTAATTTGTTCTGCAGTATATATTTTTGGGGAGGCCCATTTCTGTTCTGTTTTGGGTTTTTTTTCCTGTTCAGCTGATGATCTCTCCAGTCTAATGTCAGTTTGTCTGTGTTGTAGTGTGCCTTACGATGCTGTAGTCTTATCAAAAGTGTATCTGCATATTCTCCCTGTGCCCAGTTTCTTGTTCTCAGAAGGACAAGCGCTTTCCAGGGGTGCAGGATTTGGAACAGAGGGGACCAGTGTTGCTGAGTTACGAACAGAGCACATCAGAGTCCTACAGCATTTGTAGTTTTACTCGTCGTGTCTTTTGATACAAACCCCTGAGGTTTTCTGTGTGTCTTGTTATTTTAATCTGTTGAATGAAGAATTTCATTCATTCCAGCGCTTACTAATCCCAGATGAGTTCATGGTGCACTTATCATGCACTCAGCCACGCTCTGGCTTTTGCTTTCAGATGGATTTAATGCCATTTATCAATAAAGCCGGCTGTGAATGTCTTAATGAGAGCGACGAGCACGGATTTGATAATTGTTTACGTAAAGACTCTACCTACTTGGAATCAGACTGTGACGAGCAGGTACAGTAGATATTTTTAAGCGAGATATTTTCAATGATGGCCTGGTCTGCAAGCATTTTTTTTTTTTTAAGAACTTTAGATTGTTATGCAAGTGTAAATAAGAACAGGAGATGGTAGTAGGGTGTAAGTAAAATGAGTATACAGAGGTGGTTGTAGCATTTCCAGTTTCACATCCCTTTATGTGCAGAAAAAATTCCAAGCAGAATAGCATTTGCTGATGTTCTAAAGTGACAGACTAGTGCATGTGTGGAATATAGCAAAGGTAAGTACTTAGTTTTATTTCAAAGCTCAGACTTATTTCTAGTTAATTATTGTGCTATGTTTGTTTTTAAGAATGAAGAAAACACTGTTTAACAGCAACTCTTTTATTTTTATCCACAGCTGCTTATTACAGTAGCTTTTAGTCAACCTGTCAAGCTTTATTCTATGAAACTTCAGGGGCCAGATAACGGTGAGTAAAGTGTCTTTTTACTCACATCTTTGAAACCAAAGCTTTGCCCATGTTTAGCTAAAGCTTTCTAAAAATTACACTGCTGTCCCTGGAACCTTTTACCTTCTGAGAATCCTACAGCAGCTTCAGTATGTTTGTTGTAAATGGATTACCTAAGAAATGATCTCATTCCTTTTTCGCTGTCCTCTTGTGTGGCTGTTTGGTATGACACAAGTGCAAATATTTACTATACTTTGATACACTGCAAAGAGAAACTACATTTAATTGAAGAATTGATGTGAGAGCTGCTGAGCTTAGCTTGGTTTTATGAGCTACTGAGCTTAGCTAAGGCATAGCTTGGTTTTTATGGTAACTCCTTTTCCATTAGAAAATTACATAAAGGGTTCAAGTGTTATATGACACAGCAAAACTATTATTTTTAGACTTTTTATTGGATCTTTTCTCTGAAATTCTGTCTCTAGACACGCAGGTGAGTAGTACAGCTTTGGGTGGCCTTCAGGATCTGGGGTGGTGATGTAGGATTGGCAGCTAAGACAGTGGAATTATGGATACCACCCCTGGGTTCCTTGAGTGGTATCTAGAGGCTGTGATAAGTGAGGGCTTCTCAAGCAGCATTTTGAAAAGATATTTAAACAATGGAATACCACTCCTATGTGTTAACACAGGGCAAGGTCCAAAGTACATCAAAATCTTTATCAACCTTCCTCGGTCTATGGATTTTGAAGAAGCAGAAAGAAGTGAACCAACTCAAGCCCTGGAGCTGACACCAGATGATATTAAAGAAGATGGTATTGTCCAGCTTCGCTATGTAAAATTTCAGAATGTTAACAGTGTAACTGTAAGTAAAAGTTTCTGTTCCCAGGTCTGGGCAGGCTGAAAACTCCGTAGGCTTTTAAAGCTGTGTGGGTTTGGTTTTGTTGGAAATGTTCTTGGTTTCTCTCTGCTGATTTCATATTCTATGTTCATCCTAAAAAGCATTTCAGAAATTGAAGGTGAGACAAGGCCGATGTCTCTTTTGACCTAGTGTGAGATGTAAGGTTCCTTTTCACCTCTTGACGAGCTGTTTAACTCAACTAACATCCCTTCTTGAAAGACATCTTGTCTTCCTTTCCAGAGTCAGGAGCCAAGGAATCCAGTTGCTCAGTAATCTGATTGCAGAAGTGACAGATTTCTTGGAGTATCAAGTGATGTACTTTCAATATCTTTAAACTCTGCTCTCTCTGAGGGTTCTTGAATGCTGCAATCAAAGCACCTTTGTCTTTTAACGAGCTCTCTAATTCTCTTGCTGTGAGAGACTTTCCACAGATTTCACATTGGGTTTTGGACTCTTAAACGCAGGTGCAGGTTCCTCCTCGTCCATTTTAAAAAATACAGGTTCTGGTGCAATACATACATTGATTACATTTTAATTTTTATTATATTTTATATTTTTAAATCATTTGATTAAAGTGATGCTGAGATTGCTTTATGCTTGGCATTATCCTGGTACTGCACAGCCCTGTTTCCTGCAATACTGTGTTGAACTGGTTTTTCCAGTATGTCTCCTGAGTTCATTTCTATGGAAATACTTTTCACGGCCTTAATTATGCATTTGCAAATGTGTGGACTTAGAGTTGATGGAATTAAACTCTATTTTAGTGGACTGGCCATGGAAATCACTAGCTTCTTATGAGATACAGGGAGTTCCAAAACATTGATCCACCCTCAATCTTTTAGTCACACTTTTTCTTCTGTAAGAAGGTTTCTGGTGAATTTCTAAATGACTGTTGTTGGACTGCAGCTTAGATCAGTTTGCTACTTTCATGTTTAGCAATGCTTTACTAGCAATTACTTTAAATGTAATGGGAGACAAACCTAAATAACTCCTGTGCATGTCTTATTTCTGTGGAGTTACCTTTGTGACCAGCTCTATCCTCCCTCAAATGAAACGGAGATCAGTCACACGGGCTTATGTTCTACAAAGCTGTGCTGACAAGTGCAAGTTATGTATTTGTTCTTTAATAAAATCCTGTGTCAGCTTTAGACAGGATGATGTGCAAACAGCAGACGAGTGATAAGGTGATTAAATAGATGTTCTGCTTGTTTGCACTCTTTGCCTGTGGGCACTGCACTGGCACTCCTCTGGTTTCCTAGCTAAACCTGGTGTTTCAGGGTTAGGAGGTATTTAAGACCTCCTAGAAATGAGATAACCAGTCATCTTGTCCACCACCTGGCTTATCAGTGTGGGTGACGAAGTTCTGCTGGCTTATGTAGTTCTGTGGATAAAAATCCACTGTTTGGTTCCTAATGAACTGGAGGAGGCAGAGTTGTCACATCCACAAATTGTCCTGTTTTTCTGCTGTGTGTCATCAGAAATACTCATTGAACATTTCCAGGTCTATATAAGCAAGTTCACACTTTATTTATGTTTATCACTGCCAGGTTTGTGAGTTAACTTTTATGGTTCTTTATCTTTTTTTAAAAAAAATAAATTATTAATTCTATACCCTGTAGTTTCTAATCCATATAATTCAGCTCTTTTGTTTCTTTCTTACTGAAGAATACTTTCATCAGCATTTCAACCTTCACTTTCCATACTTTTCCAAGCTTGGTATTTGTTTGAAACCCTAAAATAACTGCATAGATCTAGTATTCATGCTGTCAAACACATAATTAAGTAAGCTATAGGAGTAAACAACTCATTAATAGTCTTAGGGGCTTCAGCAAGCATGGATAAATTGGTATTTAACTTTATTCCAAGTCAGATTCTGGGCAATAGTGAATTGTGACTTCCTAGATCCTGTTTTTACTTGCTGAATGTGGTCTCAGGTCAGCAGTGGAAGCTGGGCAAATACAAACTGTGGGTTTTTAGTAAACTACCAGGAAAATAATAGCAGTCTATATAATCATGATTTAAAATAAGAGGACAGTAGCTTCTCTAAAGGTTACAGAGGCCTTTATAATTGGAACAAGTGTTAATTTGGTTAGTTCAGAAGTCTTGGAGAGCTAAGGTTTTTATGTATCAGTTCAGAGGTGGACAGTTAACTCTTGTGTTTGGGTTTTTTTGTAGTTATTCGTCCAATCCAATCATGGTGATGAAGAGACAACAAGAATCACGTACTTCACATTTATTGGAACTCCAGTTCAAGCAACAAATATGAATGACTTCAAGCGAGTGAGTCCTCTTTCCACTTTTAAACATTTTAAACCTACTCAGAAATGGGTTGACAGAGCAAAAACACTCGGTTGTTACTACAGTTCCACGGTTTGAGGTGGTTTTGGCATCCAAAAGAAAACGTGTAGCTTTATCTTACAGATCTTTGGTCTTGCTTACAAGTTTTTGTTCATCAGCTCTGTAAAAATAACTGATAAGAATGTGTATATAAAAACTTGTGGGACTGTCAGGTTGGGTACACTACAGGCAATGTTTTTGTTTAGCTGTGAGGTTTATGTCTTGATTTTGAAGCTTGCTTTCTGGTGGTGTTCAGGAAGTAGAGAAGCAGTTGCACATGTGAATTAAACAGGTTCCTAGTGATTGACTTCTGCTTTGAAGGATTTTATTCACTGAGCAACATTAAGCTTGAGATCTGAAAAATATTTTGTCACAAGGTGCCTGTTACGTTTAACTCCTTTTTAAAGAGGAAATGAAGAGGCAAACTACTTGTTACAATCTGACTTTAACCACTAGTGCTGAACAAGAAGGCACTCTCAATTCTTTATTTGGGGTTTTTTTGAGAATGTGAAACGGGTTTGAAAGGGTTGGAACTTTAAAGGTACTTACAACTTTTTCAAAATGCAGTAGGGCTTTTTAAAATAAACTGCTTTGGAACTTAATACCTTTTGTAAAAGGGCAAATAGTGCTGTAACACCTGCCTACAAACTGCCGTGTGGGTGACCAATAACACTGAAAGCACCACAGAATTTATTGTATAAATAACATTTAACTTCAGGAGGTTAAAGACTAATGCTCACCAACACTGGAATTTGTACTTGGAATTGTTAACATCAAAACTTGATCTTTAACTTCTACATGTAAAAATTAATATCTTTGTGGATAATTAGGTTTTTAAATAGAAGTTTAACAGGTTTTGCTGTCTTTCAGTGAAACTCAAAGTAACTGGAGAAAGTTGTTCTAATGTACTAAAATTAACTAGATATTAATTTTATACCTTCTTAATGTAATGCTTCCAATTATCCCCAGACTAGACTAGGAATATGTTAATAGTTTTCCAATCTGCTTACATTCTTTGTTTTATACAGTGTTTTTGTCAGTCCTTATGGTGCTAGGGCATTCCCTGCAATGAGTTGTGCAATGACTATTTTAACATCATTAATCTGCAGTACTTTCTGGTGTTGTGAGGGGAGTGTGACTCTGACTCAGTATTTGATCTCTCTATCGCTTTCAGTTCTTTGTAAATTAGTTTTGCTTTCAAAAGTACTGAAAGTTTATTTTCAACAAATGCACTTTTTAAACCTGACCTGATTGTTATAGTGATTTTTTTTTTGTTTTAAAATGATAATCCTGATTGGGCTGCACTCAGTAAAGCAATTCAGCTTTTTTTTTTCTAGGAAGTTACATGGGTTTGTGTTTCCTACGGTATTTGAAGTTGCATGGACAGAATGTTAGTTTGGTGGACCAGTTAACAACTTTAGTGTCCTTAAAATTTGCACTCACCAAACAGCCCCACGCTGTTGGCATTGTGCCAGCATCAGGGTGTTAAGGAGTTGGCCAGGATGGCCTTAAATAGGGGTGCAGGCAGTAATGGGTTAAAAGTGGCTAATCCTACCTCATGGACACTACGTGTAATGTTCCTGTTTTGCTTCCTGAACCTGTAGTTTCAATATTAGACTGTTAAAATCTTTCATCATAACAAATGGGATGGGTAGTCGGGCAGAGCTGCAGTGCTCTTAGGAATTTTAACTTCTGTTTCCTCTCTTCCAGTGATCCTGTCAGCTCTGAAACCTTAATATAGCGTGGGGCATTAATTATATTTAGGTTTGTAGATTAACTTTGGGAAACCTTCTTTTTCTTTTCATCTCCTGGAGTAGTTACCCACACTACTCCTCACTGCTTTCATCTGTCTCATTCCCCCATCTCAGTCTGTCTCTACTGTTCATATTTCTCTTCTAATTGTGATAGAAATAGTATTGCAGTCTGATTAACAAGATGGGGGAATGCTTTGTTTCCCTGAGTTTTTGAGAAGTGTTCATAAGAATGTGTTAAATATTCTTCTTTGAAGTGCTTGAATTAAGAAGTGGATATGAATGTGATTCCACTCATGTTTTTATGATTGATCACATTGCTGCTCAGTTGATTGTATGCATGTTCAAAGTAAAAACCAAACCCAAACCAAAAACCCCCCCAAGCATTGGTTTGAGTGAGTTCTGCTAAGGATGAGGCCAATGTATTTTGCTTCCCAGTCGGGGTGGGGTTGGAATGCATGCTTAGTTACAGCAGCTTCCTGCTCAGCAGTTGATTATTAAGTTATTAAGGAAAACTTGTGTTTGCTTGTGGAGTGCTCTGCTAACACCAACAGGGCTGAAAGAAGAGTCACCTCCTCTTGATGAAGGAGTCAGTTGGCGTGTTTAAGATAAAGGAGACATCGTTTCTGTGAATTCTGCTGCCAAATACACCGCTAAAATTCATCTGCTCTGCAAAGCAACAGGAGTAATGAGCAGGGGTAGCTAAGTTAGTCCTTCATTAGTGATTTTGGCCTCAAGTTGGACATAAGATGGAATCACAGAACAGCTCAGGTTGGAAGGGACCTCAAAAGATCACCTGGTCCAGCCTTCCATGGCACAGGTGGCCCAGATGGGATTATCTACCACCTTGTCTCATCACATCTTGAAAACCTCCAGCAATGGGGACTGTGCCACATCCATGTGGAGGTTGTTCCAGCAATTGACTGGTCTCACTGGTCTCACAGACTTGTTTCATTTGGTTGCATGTAGCTGGTGTTGCTGGATTGAACGAGT